CTTCCAGTAAAGCCAATCGACGTGTTGTGTTATGTGAATGCATGGCTCTTCAAATGAGTGTGATTCTGAGGGTCAAAACCAAATTCCAGTCCAATCAGGCCTCCTCTTGCTCGTTGGTACCTCTCGTTCCCCCCTCTCTCTCTCTACACCTACCCAACAACCACAAGTGGTTTCTGCTTATTTCGTGTATTCAGAGAGTTAGCTGTTTTGTCGATTTCTATCGCCTCCCTAATCTTGCAACAGCCAATCTGTAGAACGGGTCAGAATATTCTCGAAAAGAAAGCGCTCCTGGTTTCCCACCTCAGATTTTGTGCTCCTGTGGTAGTGCCCATGTGTGGAGAAGACGCTCGGCTCGATATGGAGACTGCACCAACCGGGACCTGCAAGCGAAACATGAGATGCACAAGTGGACCAAGTTGGAGTCGGAAGGAGGTAGGTTTGAAGCCGGCCCACCTTTCTCGCCTTCGTGTTTTGGGTGGATTGTCGTCAAGTGTCGTGTCCTGCACTGACGATGTCCGTCACATGACAGCAAGGATTCATCGGGGTCGTAGGACCTATTCGCACAAATCTACAACCACAGTCTCCAGCGGAACCAACTTACGAATCCCTTCCACTCCAACATTATCTGCTTTTGAAATTCGGCTTTTGGAGTTGGTCAAGAGAATTTTGATACTTGGATATTATTTTTAATTAAGCCCGATAATAGTTCATTGCTTTAATGAGAACCACATTTCTTGTTTTCTTATCAAAGTAAAAACAAACGAGTAGAGATTTTACAATCATGTGCAGATCTAATAAAATTTCGTTGTTCTGGCCGATACAATGGTCAGCTGATTTTTTACACTTATCCCGTAACATTAGCATTCTTAATTGATATTACTCATGAGTAGCGTTGAGCACATGTAGAAACATTTTGAATCTTCGTCAATGAAGACAGGCCAAAAATATGTTTAGCCCTACTTAAAGTAGCCCAAAAAGTTTTGCCCCGTCGTATTATCCTCAAGCCCCACCACAGATAACCTCTCTACAGCCATTCGGCCGAATCTCTGTCTTACCCAAGGACTGATTTCGTATCGACGCCTTGTCCATAATCGCTCTCCGAGTAGGATTGTTGAGCAGAGAACGCTTTGCCAGCGAAATGTCGGCCGTGACCCGAGTGATGATGATCCTGAAAGAGACAGAACAGTTACGGGTAATCATAAAACTCAAGCATATTCTACTTTTTTTCACATCGTTCATTTTTCCCTAATCTCAATTATGGCATGAATGCTTGCTGTACCGCACCTCAACAACCAGAATCAATGTATTGAAGCAATATAGTTAAATCCGCTTAAACTTAGTAGAACCAAACTAATGACAGACAACTGACATGTTGATGACGGAGGAAACTATTGAACATTTGTCCCCATGCCTCAATTAGTCATGGCGAGTGATCGGGGAGACGATCGGACTTTGAATTTGATCCAAGCTACCGTGCACAAATCAAGAAGTCCGATCTTCAAAATTTGATTGAAAATGACAAAATATGGTTCTGTAAGCTCAAATAAAGTATGCTAAGCGCCAAGTTCCACGGGCAAAACTGCACGTAGACGTCAGGTAGTCTGCGAATTAAATTTCTATGAGCATAATTCACACTGAGACCAGCTTGTACCTGTCCTGTGATAGGACTTTTACAGGCAATATGACCAAATTTGTTTGAGTTTTTCACAAAAAATTAGGCACAAAGCCCCTCCATTTCTTGATATTTCACTTGGCTTGGCTTTCTAAAAAGACTTGATTTAGAGGTTGGATGGCATTTTCCTCCTCGCTTGTGTCGCATCAGTTCTCCCAAAGGAACTCGAACCGGAGTTTTGCACATCGAGAGACAACCAATTGCCACTTAACCACTCGACCACAACACTCGAACAAAGCTATTGGGTCAGCGGGCAGATGACACTCTCAAGATATTATATGTTTCCTCCAATTCGCCCTCTACAACCAGACTTGCGTCGATAGGGTCAACTTGTAATTGTCACCAAACCCAACGAGAATAGTATGATTATAGTGGGCCGAACTTGTAACTATGACTAACCCTTTCAACTAACTGCAAATGATAAATTACGGAAGACTGTGGAGCCTTCGAAAGTCAAATTTCCCTCATGAACCATTGGATACGAGGTGCGTTAATGCTTGGCAGGAAGAAATAGTTACGAATCCAATTTTAGAGGATGATGAGAAGATGAGGCGAAGGCAAGACAGCGGTTCAACTTGAAAGAGTGAGTATTCTAATCAGCCGGATTGAATGACTTGTCGAGTCGTAGAAAACCCAATTATCAAGCATTCCATCGACTTGAACGACCTAAGCTGATCATGGTTACTATACGTCTAATTGACTTTCATTTGAATTGCATTTAAGAAAGTATTTTTATTGTTTGCCCACATATGGCATTACAACTTATCTATATTGTTAGTCCACATTTATATTCTTGATGGGTCATAAAAATTCCCATCGTATATTTACATCCTCACATCAAGTATTCTCAACTCGACCAGT